AGTCACACCCTACCGTGCAGCAAGAACAGAAACTCACCTGTGAGCACAGGTGAGCTCCACTGGACGGGGATGTCACAGTACAGCTGGCTTGGGTTGGCCAAGGTAAATCTGACCATAACACAAATCCAGTTCAGCTAGCCTAGTTCATGTCTGAACATGAACATGTCCCAGGATAAATTATAGGGGACCCTCCGCCAGCCCCATCCAAGCTGAGAAGAAAGCACACAAATGGCCAGGAAGATGGGCAGGGAGAGACGTATCAGCCAAGGCCATCTAGCCCAGGAAAAATTGAGTATTTCAGCGAGTTCTGAATAATTAACGAAGTTGTTTGTCTCACGAGCACCTGGAGCATGAGTTGTGGGTTTATGTCTCCCCACCCACGACCTGCACCTTACAAGGGGATGCTCAGGCTCCCTGTCTCAGAGCCAACCCAGCCTCACCCCATCCCAATGCAACTCAAAACACAGGAGACACCACAAGGATTTGAAGTAATTGCATTTATTACAACTTGTGTCACACACAGAGAATATTCTAAGTTGGAAGGAACTCACAGGGATCCCCGAGTCCAGCTTTTAAGTGAATGGCCTGTACAGGGATCAAACCCACCACCTTGGCATTACTGGCTCCCTGCTCTAACCAAGCGTTTGATGTGCAGACCCCCACCTGAGAAAACTCCATGGAACAGACTGTTCTTCCATGTGGAGCATCTGATCGGGAGACTGGGCAACACTTGAAGCCAAACCAATTTCATCTCCCTCCACGGCGGGGGAGTGGAGCCCAGAAATCGGGCTGATCCCACTCGGTGGAGCTCACAGCTTGGGAAGGAGCCAGGATCTGGCTCTGCAGAGCTCCCACTTCTGGAGGAGAGAGCTGGGAAAAAACAGTCTGACACTGCAGCACCAAGTCCCTCAAGGATGGCTCACCCTCTGCTCAGGCCTGAAAAAAGGGATAAAATACAAACCAGCTGAGTGATAAGCAGTTGGGCTCAGCGCTGCGTCAAGATTCCATCCACGTTCCAGAATTTCTGTTTTTTCCCTACCCACTCATGGCCCGGCCTCAGCCCCATATCCGCAGGACTCATTCAACAGTCTCCAGACTCGGGAATCATCATAGACCAGGCTGCACTGCCACTGATTTCACCCACACCTTGCACCACAGATCACAACTCTGGTTAACTAAAAGCCTCTGAAACGAGGTTGATAATTCCCACCTGCACAGTCCAGGTAAAAAACTGGCCACTTCTAGCACAGGCAGTCAGCTTGAACTGGACCCTGTCCTTCAGACCCCACTCCAGATCATGAAATACCAGAATGGTTTGGGTTAAGAAGGCACCTTAAAAGCTCCACCCTGCTCATGACATGGGCAGGGACACCTTCCACCAGACCAGGATGGCCTAAGCCCCATCCAACCTGGCCCTGGACACTTCAGGGATGAGGCAGCCACAGCTTCTCTGGGTAACCAGGGCTTCCTCATACTCACAGCCAAGAATTTCCTCCCAGCATCTAGTTTAAACTTACTGTTCCCTAGGGGACGACTCACATGCTCCACACGGCAGCATCCCCACAACTCAGGTCCTATGGGAAGCAAGCTGAAGCCCTTGGGACAGGGCTATCAAGTTCTCACCCTTTTCCAGATTAACTGCTGAAAAAACAAGAGAGAGAGTTTAGTGCCTGAAGCTGATGGGTCACTGTAAATCCATGGCTCAGATACTCCCAACAAATCCCAACCCTCGGACTCTCACAGCACCTCTGCCCCCTGTGCCCAGCATTTATCCCTTCTCCTGACCAGGACTTTCCTTCCCAACCAGACTTCCCAAAACAGTAAGGCCAACACAGTCTGTCTTCCTAGTGGCCCCTCTCAGCATATGACACACCTGCAGAGAGCCCAAGACCAGCATGAATTTTACTCTTCCTCCTTTTTCGACCACAAGATCGGTATTCAGATCTGATGGGAAAGGGATTTGGAGGGATGTGCTGTGGAGATCCAACAAGGGTACTACCTTCTCACCTGGGTTTATCCATCAGATGGGTGAGCTCTGGAACACCCAGGAGCCCTGGAAGACATCGTAACATACCCCCAAAATCAGCAGTGGGCTGCAGACTCTTGTAGACACACCTCTGACTCATTCCACCCTAAAACCACATGCAAAGAACAGCCCAATTCCTAAAAATGTATTGGAGGGGTGAGTGACAGTCATGGACAAAAGAGGCCCAGCAGTCAAAGACCCTCCCATTGCTCTGGCATGTTGCTGGAGACCTGTAGCTACTGCATGGAGCCACAGCTCTTGGATAAACATGCAGGTACACATGGAGCTTAAACGGTAAAGTCTATAACAGAGCAGTCAACTGGCTCTGGATCAGGGATGATTCCCAGTTCTGCCTCTAGTGAGCCCCCGAGAGAGGAACTGCCCTTATCTCACCCATACATGATCCAGACGGAGCAAGAACTAGGGCAGTTTGCAGGGCCCAGCCCCAAGAACAAGCCCTGAGGATGCACAGCCTTGGAACAGCACATGCTGGCACTGTCTGACAGCAGAGGGGCAGGAAATGCTGCTGGTTCTTACTGTGGCCCAGGGAAGCCACAAAACCAACCAAATGCTCAGCACAATGGAGGACTCCAGAACCTGGACCACCCATCTTACCTGACCACAGCTGAGGCCATCACGAGACATCCCATGCCCTGGGATCACCTTCTATGCCAGGATGCTGCTGGGAAAAAAGTCTTGAGGTTTAAGTAAATTACAAGAATAATAAGTTAAAACAAAACTACAGAAAGATGGGATACACCCCTCCCTCCCACCGGTGCATCAATTTAGAACCCAGGGGCACGGATTTGCGGCAGCCGCCTACTTCCAGCACCAGCAACCCCCTAACCTATGGCGGGCCGTGTACTTTCCCGAAATGTTGCCGAACAGTTACAAAAGCTCCAACTGAGCGGCGACCGTCGAGGAAAGTCCCTTTGCTTTCGGCTCCTTTTTGACTGCATCTACCATAGCACCGACAGACGCAGCTTCGATAGGGCCGGGCGGGTCCGGGGGGCTCTCCCTCCCGCAGCTGCCTGTCCCGGGACAGGGGATCAGTTCAGCCTCGGGGGTCCCCCACTCACCTGGGGCCGGGCCCAGCCTGAAGAGGAGGGCGGGGTAAGGTCGCGCTGCCCTTCGCAGCCTTCGGAGCGCACCGAAGCGCTGCCGCCGGGAGCGATGCCCACGGGGCGTTGATGCGGCGGGAGAGGCCCAGCGAAGGAGGATGGCAGTGGATGGCCCCTGGTGATGGCCGCGCAGCCCACCCTACTCGCCGCCATAGCCGAAAGAGGAGGAAGTTCCTCCGCGGCCATTTTTTATACCGCGGCAGTGTGGGCTCCGATTGGCTGCTGGTGCCGGGCCCTCCCGCGGAGGATTCTGGGAGTTGTAGGTCGCACTGCCCACAGCCCTCGCCGTCCTTCCTGCCTTCCCCCTTCCAGCCGCCCACTCCACCCCATCCCAAAGGATAACGGAGGCCCCCGAACAACCTGCTCTAGTAGCAAGTGTTCTTGCCCATGGCAGCAGGTGGAATGAGATGAGCTTTGAGTCCCCTGCCAACCCCAACTATTTCATGATCCCATGATTCACAACCCCTACTAGCACTGGGAGCAGCTGCACACCCCCACCCCATCTAAATGACTCTCCAGTTCAGGTGAGACAAATACAGTTTCTCTCTCCTTCCGCATGCAAGGTCCACACCAAGGGTTACTCTCTGAAAAACTGAAGCCAGTAGCTATGTTTCCCCTATTCCTTCCTCCCTTTTGGAACGGCGGAGTACTCCACCCTTGGGGAATAGAAGGAAAGGTTCTTGGAAACAGAAGTCTGATTGCCAACATAGTACCTCTGTAAGGCTCCTGGGTCATGATTTATAATCCGTGGAAAGGATTTAAAATGGGTGCACCTGCCAACGGGCTGGAAAGGAGTGCTGGAACAGCTGCTGGTGCTGATTCTGAAGGCACACCCATTGTGGGAAATCAGCTGGAAAAGCCTGAGACTGCTTCCTGCCCAAACCCTGGAGAAAGGGCAAAAAGGATGGTCATGTTTTAATCTGTTCTGAGCAAGTGAGCAGATGAGAAAATTCCCAGCGTTCAGTAATGGTCTTTTGAGCTGGTAATTTCCTCCAAACATGGTAGATCAGCAATAAAATAAACCCTCAGCTGTTTAAGGCCAAGTCTAGGAATAAGCCTCAAACTTTGTGTGGCCAAACCCTCCCCAAGACAACTCTTGCCAAAGCTGTCAGGTACCAGGTACAAGCAACTACTCCCATTCTCCTCCTCTGTGGATCTCAGAGCTGCTCTGCCAAGTCACGAGGCAATCCCTGGAGTCTCCTTGGCACAGCCACTTATACAACATGTGCCTAGAAATCATGTCAAATCTTAGGGCAGGGTAGAACCTGGGAGATTACTGTAGGAAAAAAAAGCCATCAACCTTCCCCAAAAATTCAAACCTTGGCGAACATTGCTTGGAAACAGACTCATCCAAATGCTGAACTGGGAGAATCAACGAAACTGGGAGCAGCAATGAAAAGCACTGGATGCCCAGGAGACCTCAGCCTGACATGACAAGATGGATGCAGATCCAAGAGGGGCAGAGAAAACCCCACTGCATGTCCATGGTCAGCGAAGCCCTGATGAAACCTCGTGGGAATCTTTCACCAGCCTCTTCCACAGCACAAGACAGGGAGCATATGCTGGAAGAGGCTGCAGTTCCCAGCACCTGACAATGGGAGCAGACAATGCACTTGTCTTGTACAGACAAGACAGTACAGGGACCTGAAAACTATCAGTAAGGAAAAGCAGGTGTGCATTACTGATCCAGGTGTTGTAGTGCCTGTGGCTCCCTGGGACACCTCAAGGGGACAAGGCAAGTCCTAGCCATCATCAGCTCTCAATCTCTGTCAACTGTTATCCACCATTGCTTTTTCCCTGGAAATTTTACAGCAGAGCAGTATGATCTTTGAATTATAGAATCATGGGACATCCTGATTTGGAAGGGGCCCACAAGCATCATAAAGTCCAACAGTCCTGCACAGAACACCCCAAGAATCCCACCACATGCCTGGGAAAAATGAGCGTGTGCCGAGCAGGACCCCAAGCCCCTTCCTAAAAAAATGCACTTGGCAAAGCCATTTTGACTTGGAATAACTTCTAAGGAAGAATAAAAGGAGATATTTTCTGAAGAAATGCTCTAACCAGGAGAAAAGGGAAAGCGAGCTCTGTCATTGACATTTCCTGAAGCAGCTCTGTCAGTTTCTGCTACTGCATTTTAAATTCATACCCCATCCTGCCACAGAATTAGTTTCATGGTTAAGCAAATCCCAGGTTAAATCCAGAAATGGGTTTATCCAGTATGTTTACAAGATCACTGGGAGAAGGCTGGAAGGTAAAAATTCTACTCAGATCTTGTTTAGCAAAAGCTGAAGATTAACAAGCCAGTAATGAGAAACCAAGTACAGGAAGATTAGAGTCAAATATTTATCTCTGTTCCTCAAAAGGGATTCAGAGAAATTCCCAAGGGTGTTGTGTATGTCTCAGTGTGTGGGATATGAACCTGTCTCCAGAAACTGATCCAAATAACTGGAATTTTCTCTAGTCAGACTCACATGGAAAAAAAAAAAAAATTACCTTCAGCCCCTTTCAGCCCTTTAATCCATACATTTGCTAAAGAAATGCTTCCAGACTCCTCATCTATTTGGAAGCGGGTCAGGATCACCCCCAGGCCACCCCAATGTGCATTGTCAAGCTTTTAATTAAACACAGGCTAATGGCAAGGGGCCACCCCGCAGCCTCGGAGCTCAGCCTTTGGAAATCACCACTATGTGCCTGAGAACACCCATGTACCTCCACCTCTGCTGAACATACCCAGTCAGTGTAACTCAAAATGGGAATTGGAGTCCCTACAATTTCATCTAAATTGGATGATCGCATATTCAATAAAGAAGACAATAAGAGCATTTGAGTTGTTTTTGGAATTGCTATAAACCCTGCCTGCTTAAAGGCAGAGTGCTTCCTGATCTCCGTTGCTGATATAAATACAATTTTCAGGAATTACACAATCCCAGGGAGCTGTGATATCATCTGCCTTGGACTTCTTGCCTTTAGCATATAGACATAAAAGCAGAACTTACCTTACTACGTGGACTCTTTGTCTTTCATCCTCTGTGACACTAAATGGTAATTAATCTGGGACTTTCCTATAGCCATCCAGGAGAAACAAAATCCCACACTCTGTTTAACTGGGATTCCAAAAGGCAAACCCTACAAATCCCAGGAGGTGGCTGTCTTGTAGCTTCATATAAAAGTCTCTCCTGTGCTTCACACACTGCAGTAATGGCTGGGAGCTGAAAATGAACATTAAGATGAGTAAGTAATAATAAAAAAAAAACAACAAAAAACAATGCAGAGATTTAACAGCTCCACAGAATCTTGGTTGAGGTTCTCCCAAACAACCCCAAAAGCCTGGCTCATACCTCCAGGGAATGAGGTCCAGAGCCTCGCATCAGCCTCTCTCCTGAAACAAAAGCTGGAGCTATTTTAAGCTCTGCAGCACCAGTAAACAGGAGTCAGCAGGTCATCTCTGCTGGCCTCTGCAATTCCAAATTATTCCTCACAAGGGTCTGTATGTGCCCAGCTCTCCCAGGAATTAGGGGTTAGGATGGGTTGGATTAATATTTACCATTTTTCTTTCCAGCACAAAACAAAAGCAGATAGCAAAAAAAAAAAAGGATTTTCCCGCAGGGTTGCTGTCTGATCCCTAAAATCTGCTCTTCGCTCCTCTAGAGACAGACCTGTACGGAGATAGTTTATCCAGGCCTTAGGGAATACTCCACAGATGACAATGCTGGGCAGATGAGAACAGCAGAATAAATTTATATTGGTAAATAAGCGTGGCTTTACCCCTGGGAGCAAACTGGGATGGCCACATTGTAAAAACTAAAATTTTTTTTAGAGTGTAGGAAAAGGCAGCTCCAAAAGAGAAGGGCAGGCACACGGGGCAACATAGTAACAGAATGATCTAGGAAGTGTTTTAAATGCCCTTCTTTACATCACTTCTGCAATGCCACTCTGCTGAACTTCCCAAGGAGAGGGGGTGGGCTGAGCTGAGGGGCCACAAGAGAGGATATAAGCTCAGCTCTCTTCCACTTCTGCTGCTTCTGAAACTCCTGGCATGCACAGGGAACATTCCTTTCCTTACATTCAGAGCAGCTGAAGGTGAGACAGCAGCACACTCAGGGGCACAGCACAAGGAAAATACACAGTAGATGAGAACGCAGGAGTCCAGCAGTCCTTTAGCTCCATTTGTTAGGAATAACATAACTCCAGTCACATCACCATTCCCCTCACATCCCACTTCCAGTTGATAAAAAAGACCACAGACAGACAAATAGGTCATAATTATGGACACAAACAAAGATGTAACAGAAGTAGCTTTATCGAAGTCTTTAAATTTTGTGGCAAATCTCTGCATCAACATGGGCAGGGAGGCAACGAAATGCTCTGCAGTAGCAATTTCAGTTACCAAACTATTCCTTGGATAGACATTTATTACAGGTAGTTTCTCTGTTCCTATTTCCCCAAAAGTTTAAGGCACAAAAGCCTGAATAAGGGCTTATAACATGTATGTAAGTGCTATTATTTTCGCTTTCACCTCTAATGCAACATATCAGCTTAAATATATTGCTTGTCCATCCAGCTTAGACAACATCCAGTAGAAAACCACTTTCCAAGTTAACAACCATTTGTTGCACAACACAGCAGTGCAATTTCTCTGACCCGTTTTTGCTGCAAGAGCTTCAGTTTCACTCTGACTGGACAGTGGAAGACACTACAAAATCTCAACATCTCAATGAGATCATCAAGGTGTGTCCACAATAAAAAAGAAATAAAGGCATGATACACAAAATAGCATTTAAATATGGCTGCTGGAAAAAATGTTTTAAGCTGCTGGTTGATGGGGAATTATTTCCTCATACACGGTGGAGAAGCAGGCCAGGTGTGCAAGAGATCACCAGGTAAAAGGCATCAATCTGTAGCTTTGTAACACTCCTTTCTGTCTTTGCTCTCCAAAGTGCTCTTTGGGTTGACTGCTTAAGAACATCAAACTTGCAAGCTCAAGATCACAGCTAAAGTTAACCACAACATAAGATTTCATCCCATGCTTAAGTTACAGCAACTCTACTCAGTCACTGGAAAGATTTTGAGACATTTCAGTGGTGTCCAACAATGATCTTTTTTGAAATAACACATTCATGAGCGTTGGGTTAAATGACTTAAGACAGTTGAATGGGCAGCAAAACAGAAAGATGGGCAGGAACCAAAATGCAAAGGGTAATTTTACTTAAAAGACCAACTCTTTTATTGTTTGATGGAGTAGAGTCTCTCCCCTGTGCCATCTTGTTGAAAGTTTATAAATTACAATTTCCAGTAAGTATTAAGAGTTCATTTCAAGACAAAGGGAATAAAACTGTTGCAGTTCTAATTTTCACCATGAATAAAGGTTACCATGATGTTCCTACAATACTTATTCTCTACAGGAAAGGCCACAGTCCTCCTGTACTCCGAGTACCAGACCTGGGTGGGGAAAGGGCCACCCCTCACTATTGCAGGATCCAGGGGCAGTGTAACAGTCCAGAGTGCACTGGCAGGATGTCTCAGACACAATGCCTCAGCAACGAGGCTATAACACGGCTGGGATCTCTGATGAGACAGTGTCCAAAGGCTGCCAATGACAGTCCATCAAAGCATCGTAGAGCTCTTCGCTCTGTTCCATAAACTGCTTGTTTGCTTCATGGACATCTAACTGAGGCGTAGGATCTACAGGAGGAAAGACAGACAAATAGGTCGCACATGAAAGGTGTTCAGGAAAAACCCACCCTGTAAACAAGCTGGTATATAAAAACAAACACGGGGGGGAGTCTCAATATCTCCAGGGCAGGTGTCAGAGGATAGTGCCAGACTATTCAGTGGTGCCCACTGACATTACAAGGAGCAAGCACCTCAACATGAACAAGAAGTTGTTTTCATGGAGCACTGGAACAGCTGCCCCGGGGAGGGTGTGAAGTCTCCCTCTCTGGAGACATTCCAAACCCACCCGTATGTGTTCCTGTGTCCCATATTATAGGTAAGCCTGCATTAGCAGGGGATTGGACTGGATGATTTCCAGAGGTCCTTCCAACCCCAAGTATTCTGTGATTCACCAAACATTCCCAGCCCTTGCCAAACCTGACCAGATCAGCCCTACTCAATCTCTCTGCAATGTGTAAGGAATAACTACATCCAAGCACATCCCTTTTTACAGTGGTGATTGCCCCACAGTAGAGCCACAGTAGCGCGGGGAACACACACCTGCACCTCACAGCCCAGCGCAGCCACCTGCACCGCCAGCAGGGGTTTGGCCTGATGGAAAGGGCAGGAGCAGAGGCAGAGGCACCCATTCCCCTCTGCTCCCTCCATTGTGAGTTCACAAATGATGGACAGACGGATGGATGGGAGCACCCTGTGCTGCTGCAAGCAGTCACCAGAGCTCGTCTACCAAAGCCTCCAGCAGCTCAAAGTGGGAGCCACAGTTAGGAACGAAGGGAGTGCTAGTGGCACTACAGCATTACGTAGGAGCATAGCCCTGTTTTACATGTGGAAGAAATGTTTGGACAACATTTTGGATGGAGCTGGACAACAAGCCAGCAGGTCCAATCCTGCTGCTTCCAGTGCACAGTGATGGACTCCCCAGACTCCTGTAGGGTATAAAGGTCACCTGACAACAGCAGCAACCCAAAGCTCAGTTTATCAGAGTAGCACAATCACACAGGTCAGTGAATAACTCTCAGTATAAAGCTGAATGAATGGAAAGATTCTAAAACACATCAGGAATAAAATGTTTGTAAACATGTGACTTCCATGTGAGGGAGGTGAGGCCCTGGCACAGGTTACCCAGGGAAGCTGAGGCTGCCCCATTTCTGGGAGTATCCAAGGCCAGGCTGGACAGGGTTTGGAGTAACCTGGGATAGCGGAAGGTGTCCCTGCCCATAGCAGCGGGTGGATAAAGATGGCTTTTGAAGTTCCTTCCCACCCAAACCATTCCAGGATTCTATGTTTGGTTTTAGCTACACCATTACAGGAGAAGAGATTTAAGGAAAAGGAATGATTCAGTAGCAATATGTGGATTCAGTTTCCTACAAATGTAGGAATCTTGCATTTAATCAACCAGAAAAAGAGATATCCAGGGATATCCCAACTATAGTCCTGGGATGTTTGGTTCAACAAAAGGAAAGCTCTCCTGGAATGATTTTACGAGCCATTAAGAGCTTCCACACACATCATCACTCATACCAGTGGATCGTGTAAATCTGTTACCATGTATTTATTTTTTTTTTAAGAGAAAAGTAACATATACTGCATAGTGCATATTCCACTCAAGACAGAAATCTGGAATGGCTGGCATGAAATGATAGTTTCTTGCATCAATAAATGAAAGCTACTTGTACAGGTATCTAAAACCCCAATCTGGTTTAGTGACCCATTTCAAGCAATGACTGCTTGAAATATATTGTCAGTGTGGTGACTAATATTATTCCCTTTTACTTTTTAATTAAAAGCACAATGAAGTATTCTGGGCTCTAAATGTCAAGATTTTATAGAAAAACAGAATATCTACTTTTTTCTTGGTAGCATATCAGAAAAAAAAACCCACCCTAGAAAAAAAGGATAAAAGTTTCAGTACTGCAGAAGATTGAAATCTCAGTGCTGGGGAAGTCAAACAGTTTCAGTCCTCGCCAACCGTAAAACCAGGATGTAACTGTTCTAGGTGATAACAATGCACAAATGTTCCCAGATTTACTCAAAGATAAAGATATATTATGAATTGAAATTAGGGCCAAATTGAGAAAGTCTATTTCTAAGCAGTGCAGAACATACAGACAACTTCAATACAGAATTTGAGAAACATACCTTCCAATGCATCCTCACCAACTTCTTCATATGTCTGCAAGGAAAAACAAACCCCTTAGGACAGTGAATAATTATCTTTTCTTTTGCAAGCATCACTTGTTGATTACTGCTGTGAGAGACTGACTTTTATACTAGAGTTATTACAACAGAATTCTTCACACATAAGCCTGTGTTCTATTCCCAACAGACCGTGGGCAAGATCCTACACTAAACCTCTAACAGAGGCAGTTCTTGAAATTTCAGGGTTGAAGTGGGGTGACTGTTCTGATGTGTTCTATCCTTTATAAGAAAGTTTATGAAGGATCCCAAAGGCACTCTGAGCATTGCCTGTACCAAGAGAACTCTACTACCATGACAACTGTATTAAGAGACCCTTTGTGTCCTCCAGACCTTTTTTTACCTCAGCAATATACTCTCCATAAGGCAACAGGACACACCAGGGGCTAAACACTATATAGTAGCTATATTAAGACTTCATTATTAAGAGGTTTGTACTAAGATCTCTTGGTGTGTTCAGTCTGGTGCAGAGCAGACTGAGGGCAGAGCTCATTAGGGTCTGCAGCTCCTCCCGAGGGACAGCTCTGATCTCTGCTCTCCATGACCAGGGACAGGACCTGAAGGAATGGCTGGAGCTCTGTCAGGCTGGATATCAGGAAAAGATTCTTCCCCCAGCGGGTGCTTGGGCATTGAACAGGCTCTCTAGGGAATGGTCACGGCCCCAAGGCTGCCCCAGCTCCAGGAGCATTTGAACAATGCTCTCAGGCACAGGGATTGTTCGGGTGTCCTGGGAAGGGCCAGTAGCTGGACTCAATGATTCCCATGAGTCCCTTCCAGCTCAGGACATTCTGTGATTCTCAGAGCTGAAGATAAGATGTTCCCATCCCACCTTTCAAGCTCTGTGGTCTTTCTGTGCTGCCCTACCTGCATGGTGCTCTGCGTGTAGCCATACTGGGGATAGCTGTAGCTGTAACTGCCCGTGTTCTGGTCGTACCCCCACTGAGCGTAGTAGCTGTGATACTGTTGGTAATACTGGCTGTAATTATAGTTGTACATCTGATTGTATTCCATTGGTTTCACACGATTACTTAAAAAAATAAAGCAGGAGTAAGTTGCAATAGAATAGTGCAGAACAAGTATGAAAAAAGCAGTGAAATAGCTTAAGATACAACGTGGTAAAGAGACAAGGCTTAGTCTAACATGCAAATTTCAAACTTTAAAATATATTCACTATTTACTGCAGCAGTCTTTATTATTTCCATATATTTACATAAAGAAAGAAGTGGTTTAAATTTAATACCCTTTCCTGTATTCATACTCCTCTTATTAATAAACATTGCTTTTATTCTTTATGAGCTAATTGGGTATTATTTCCTGGCTTTGGGAAGGGAAGAGTTCAGGACTATGAGCTTCAGTTTAGAACAATCCTGAACCACAATCCAGATACTGGAGTCCCTTTTTCCTTCTGATAAAGACTATGAAGTTAAGTGATCTGCAGCTTTCTGAGAGAAGGTACTGAGTCTTGCTTTACATGAAGAGTTAAAGACTTAAAGCCTTGCAAAAAAACTCAAGTTTTCTTTTGTAAGAATGGAAAAAACTCTCTTCTTCTGTATGCCATGGTCATACAGAAACCTAAGCAAGGACTCATCCCCTTACTCTCTGAACTGGGTGGTCTTCGATGCACAGACTTGAAAAAGTTCATGAAATAAGAACTACTAGTAATGAAAAAAAAAAATACCCTGAGAACCGACTGAAATTCCTATTCCTTGCCATAAAGTGTCAGCATTCCCAAGGAAATAGGATTCTAACTATCAAGATTTGAAATAATGAGATGACAAATACTGTTTGGAAATGGCTATTTCTACCAATGATGAAATTAGTGAGAAGTAGGAAGAAGGAAACATCAAACTTCTCACCATGATACACCCCTTTTTCTGTTTTTCTCTTCCTTTTTTCCCCCAAGACTTATGAGGTCACTGCAAATCTAAATATTATTCAAATAGGGAGCAATTACTATGATTTGTATTACCCTAGTGCTACGAGCACCAAGTCAGACCAGGATCTCATTGTATCAGGTTCTGAACAAACACAGAAAAAAAAGTTAATCCCTGCCCCAAAATTCTTATATGTAGTAGACATCATAATATAATTAGCAAGGTAGTAGAGCTTTGCTATCCAGACATCATTAAGCTGATTTAAACTATTTCAATTTAATGCAAAGGAACATATACTTTTAAAACAATCATATTTAACTACAGTGTGTGCGCATGTGTATGGATTTAATTATGTATACAATTCAAAACAATGTAAAATTCTCAATCTTGAGCTAATGTTATAATTTCTTTGAACTTCTGGGCATTCTGATACTCCCCATATTCATGGGTATGCCTTCATTTTGTGATGGAGACATCTAGGACATGTACCCAAAGCACTAAAAGGCATTTAAAACCAGATGTGATTTTTCATATAAATGTCTGGCTGTTCTACTCACGCTTTTGGTATAGCCACACTCAAGCGTACAGGTTTAGAGCCCAACCCCACAGCTCCCTGACACTCTGTCAGTGCTCTTTTCTGTTCCAGCTCATCCGTGAATTTCACAAACCCGTAACCTCTGCAAAGACATAGAATAACTCAGATAAAACCAACCCCAAAGAGCCATGCCCCGTTATAAGAATTAGTTACAGTGAAATTTGAATTGGTTTGGGAAAGACAGTGAATGAAAACATTCATTAGGGTTGTTGTCCCTGCTTTTGGGAGACATGAAATTATTCTGCCTTCCAGTTGCTTTTCCAGAATGCCTGAAGCCACACGTCCAGCCTCTGGCAGCACTTTCAAGGGCTTGTCAATGTAAAGTAGTTCTTGTGCCATAGGATTCCAGGGAACTGGAAGTGAGCTGACACAAGCTGTATTGAAATGCGTGAACTGACACATGGTAAAACCTCAAATTACTGCTGGGAGGATACTGATAATCTTGAGTTGCAAGTCAGCACAGGATTGACAAGACAGACCCTGCTTTTATCCAAAACTGCCCCACTGTGATGGAAAATACTACTTTTTCCCAGGATATGCTTTCCAATCAAGTTTGCTTTTCAACAGGAATATATTCAAATAAGCTTTCTGCCATTCCCAAAAACAGCGTTTCCAACAGTAGGCCTGAAAATGAGCTCTCGACATCAAGTAGGTAAAACCTGCTGAGAGCACAGCTGGAACTGGGACAGCACATCCAGAACCCCAGGACTCTGCAACAACCCTTCACTGTGGTGTGGCAGCACTGCACGTCAGCCAGACAGAAAACTCCAACTCCCTCCAACCCCAACAGTCCTTTGCGTGGGATTTTGATGCTGCAGTGAGTCAGAAGAAATGCAACAGCATCCAAGAGGGCAGTGCCAGGATCCCATCATGGGATGGGCTGCCTCACACAGCAGAAAGATCAAAGACTTAGGTGTGGGAGGGAAAGAGGAATCCATTTAACCAAAGGAAGAAGTTTGGGAGGGAAGGGCTTGTCTACCTGGGGAAAAGAACAAGCCGTAAGCAAGGGTGTAAATTTACAGTGCATTATCTATTCTGTGGGAACTGCTAAACACCAAATAATGTGCTATTTTGAAAGCAGCATCACCTACTACTCCTGGGAAGTCCCCACACCTATTTCAGAACTATTCATGCTCAGAAAATTCAGTACCTTGCACAGCAAGCTCCACACACAAGTCCAAATATCTTTATATATATATATATATATATATATATATATACACATACACACACAAGTATGGATGCATCCTCCCCACAAAAAGACCAGATCAAAGCTTAGACTTATCTACATACAAACTAGATTATTAAGCACAAGCAAAACTCTACACAGACCCATGTTCATTTAACTTGCCCTCTGCCAAAGCACTATGGTAAATTAATACAGTGCAAGTCAACTTATAAGTCAGTTTAAGGTGTTCATACACAAACCCAACTAAGTTTCTAAGCTGCCGAAAGACTCGGCAGATTTTCAGATGGGACCAGGAGTGTATAAGATAAACTGGGAAGATTGGCAGTTCCAAAACAGAGACAGATAGAGACGGATGCAGTGCACAGGAGAAGATGATGGATCCTGCAAGTGAGACAGGACAGTGATTCTTCCAAGTCTTCCAGATACTGATTCTTCCAACTCTTCCAGATATTTTGCTTTTCCACACCAATGGCTAAACCATTGGCATGGAAAGAAATACTTTCTTCTTGGCCAGGACCTCCCTGCAGACCTTCTGTCCTGACCCTGACGTTTGGAGAATCCCAGCACCTGCACCCTCAGAAGAAAGAAGTAGGCACAGCACCACAGCACCATGCTCCATGTTCCTCTCCTGTGTGGATAAGAGGTGCTGGAAGGAGGCCTTCCTGATCCACCAGCCCTGGCTGGAAGGGCCAGGGCTTCACTGGGCATGTCCACAAGCCCTAAGCTCCTCTCTCACATCACACTGACACCTGCAGTTGCCTCAGCTTTGAGCAATTGCACAAGTTCCAACAAAGCCCCTGGCACCAACACTCTGGCACTGCCAGGGGAGACAGCTTTGCTCTTCCCAGAAACAGGACTCTAAGTCCCTGCTCCTTTCCCACTTCCCAAGCTACCACAGATTCCCTTTCCTTGAGGTCTGCACCTATGTACAGCTCCCAATACCCAACCTGCAGCATCAACACCTGTTCTATAGACAGAGACTGAAGCAGGTGCAGCACAACAGGAACTGTTGTGAGCAGAAGGCACACAGAACCCAAGCCAGCAGTGTCAGTCCCAGGTGAGATGGCAATGACAGCACGAGGACCCAACAGTCAGACAGACTAAGTAGCTCTGCAACGGGTTCAGGTTGCACTTGAATGGGACCTTCATGTCTCATGGGAGGAGTGCAGCTCTGGAACAGGCTGTCCAGACAGATTGAATTATCTCCAACCTGGGAGGTTTTCCAGGCCACACAGTTCATGGATGGTATGATCTAGTGCTGTTTGCAATCTTGTTAGGAGCTGGACCAGAGGCCTCCAGAGATTCCTTCAAACCAGCCTGTCTAAGACTGAGAAACCGCATATGAGAAAGTGGGGGGACCTATAGCCATAAGCCTACATCTTATCGCAACATTCTCACAGGTATTGTATCAGAAAATTGTGCTTCAATGAAGCCACGCTCTGCTTTGAAAACAAGGATGCTCTCCAACTGCTCCTTCCTCTGAAAATACAGTTTAATTTTGTGCTATTTAGAAAACGTTTTAATTACATTAAGAAATTCAATGTTTTGATACCTGTTTTTGACAAGACATTTTCAGGAAATACAAACAAGGCAGCTACTGAGAACCTGACAGTGAATCATACCTCTGTGTGCCCTACCCTGTCTGAAAAAAAAACCTGTACAGCTCCCAAAGGAATATACACTCAATAGCCTAAAGTTTGTAAAGCACAATTCCACTTGAGAGTCCAGGAAGAAAGTGTTTCAAGATTACTTAAGACATTTTTCAGCATTTTAAGAAGTGCAATAGCACACAAAGGGCCTCACACTGACAGAGAAGTGAGAATACCCATGGTGACTATCAAAACTCAAGCAAACTTCAGAATGAATGGCCAAGAACACTATATTATAAGATTACTAAAATCTAAGCAAAAATATTTTTTTTTCCCCTTGCTGCTTTCTATCTTTTCTGTTGCCACATGTGAAGTGAAAAAAAGTGAATAAAAGACAACTTACTTGGATACTCCTGCCTGGTCCAAAACAACTTTTCCACCTCTACACGATGGATAAACTTTAACAAAAAATTCATATAACATCCCATCATCCACATCGGGAGTCAGATCTCCCACAAAAAGGGAATATTCTGGACTAAAAAAAATCAAAAGAAAACTTCTTAAATACAATCATAAAAAAAAAAAAGGAAAAAAAAAAAAAAAGGAAGGGACATGCTGAGTGACAGTTACCATTTAGCCTAAATATTTGAATTCAGAGAAGAGTGATATTAAAAGACCATTTAATGGAGACTTTAAAGTGTCACCAGTTAAGCTGCTTAACTAAAATTTTCATTGACACTGCTTTTTCAAGTTAATTCAAGCAGCACAACCAACCAGCTTAATACTGCTTTTTATTTAAAGATTATTTCACTGCTTATTACTCACAGGATATCTCTGATTCCTAAAACAGCAAGAAAACAATATCTCATTTATAGATACGCTACTTCCAATATATAGATCTTAAATTATAATATGTGAATTAGATACTTTGACGCTACAAAGTTTAAATACCTGAAAAGGACACTGGATAAATCTGCTGTGCCACACAAAGGACAAAGCACAAAACTGTCAGTCTAAGATCTCCTCACTCTACTAAAGACTGGCAGTCTTTGGATTTGCATATTTTGAATACTTTTTGCAAGGCAATTAATAAAGAGACATTACGTAGGTAAAATTAGTATTTAAATATTGAGCTCTTACCTGTTATCAGGTTGTTTTCCATATGTTGCATAATTCAATTTAAATCGCTTCGCCTGAAACAAAGCAAAAATTAATCCATACATTCAAATGTTGTCAAGGCAAAAATTAATCCATACATTCAAATGTTGTTACGTGATTTAAGCAATTAGGGAAAAATACAATAAGCTGATTTAATACAACTTTCTTAATGCTGACACATGTTCAATGCCTCCAGGCCAGACAGTTAAGGTAACAAGCATTATTTTGTGTCAATACAGATATAATAATGAAAATCAAAACCTGAACAGAGATAGTAATAATAAATGTTAAATTTCTTCCAATTTTAAGGTCTTAAAATGAAATGACAACACTACTACTGGACTTTGTGATTTAACACAAACACTAGCAGACCAGAATCCACCACACCGGAAAATGGATTCAGCCTGAGCCTGGAAGCGTGGCTAAATACTTGGCTCTGGACATTTAGTAAGATCCAAAATTAAAGGGTTCTGAAAGAACTACACTGGCCACTGAAGGCCTCTTTAAATTTTGCATCTGAATTTATTTTTGAAAGAAGTTTCACAGCAGACCAGATTTGTGCCCATCTGGAACTCTTTGTCCCCAACCTACCAGACTCCAGCAACTTGTACCCAAGCAACAACTTACATGTAAGTTTAGACCAAGATCTAAGGAGACCAAGATCTTCGGATCAGCTCTGAGAGATCAGGGGGTAATCTCAGGATCAGAAATGAGAATTTCACATCACAATCAGAAATGACCTAGAGATCAGGGTACTTGTTCAGTACAGTGAAGAGCCCAGTGTGTTCCCAGACTTTGTATGATGGATGTGCTTACCACAAAGACAGGTAAATAATTCTTGGGAAAAAGAGCACAGACTTAACTCTAGGCTATAAACCTGTTCCTTGCATGTTTGCATTCTCTGGAGCACAGTACTACACAACTTTCTGTGGATCATTTACAAGCTAACACAAAATTCAGATTCCATTTTGAAGTTTTTACTTGGATCTTCACTGCAATATTCTGGGTTTAAAATCAATGAGACACCTGAGAGTAATTTCACTCAGATAGGAACTGGGAACACCAGTGCTTGGAAGAGAGACAGCACCAGCACCATGGCTCTCTGTTATTCCTTTGGCTTACTCAGTACTTAAAAGCAAATAAAAGTATTCACTTCTGTAAGCAAAAGTTTCTAAATGCAAAGGATGAGCTGGGCAGTTGCCTGCTGAGTGCACTGATTTGGGCTGCTTTGGATCTCTGTTTGACATCTGTAATTCTCTCCATGTGTTATGCAAATCATCCTTCCACACAGCACTGTGTTTTGAACAAACTGTGAAGTAAGACGGGTATCCCCAAAACCAAACTTCCATTATTATCTTACTCCTTGCAAGAGCTGCTCTCTTGGTCTCTCCAGTGACTACAGAAGGCATCCAGGATGATCAGCTTACCCTAATCATGAGCAAACACGTGAAACAGATATCTCCAGGCCTCTCATCGACTCCTTTTAACGGGGCACGTCACTCTCTCAGGAATGTTGACTAAATAGTTCACTCTGAACTTCCCGGTTTCCTACTCTGGATATTAACTACTCTGAAATAGGAATCCATTTACCTTGTATATCACACCATAACTGAGGTGATTCTAGAGCTGCTTTATGAATCAGTCACCCCAGCTACTGCAGCCATCTCCTGCAGGTACAACAAGACAGCTGTGTCAGCCGTCCCGTTTTAATCTACCACATATTCGAGTCAACATCCTAAAATTAACCTCTCTGACTATTCCTCCTCTTCTTCCTAACTACCCAGTTTTTATGTAGAGGAGACATTAGTTATGCACTGCAATTATTCAGTAGTCTGGCTCCTTCTCCACTATAAAGAGGTTCAAGTAAATTCTGTTTGCTAAGGGCCAAGAACAATGCAAGATTAAATGTCATGTTTCTCTTGCAAATTAATGTTACTCAAAAGACAGTGTGAACTTGCAAGTTGATCCTGTACACATGTAACAACACACACAGCTAAATTCTCAGTTTGCCTCATCCCTGAAAGTGTTCAAAGCCTGGCTGGCTGGGGCTTGGAGCAACTTGGTCTAGTGGAAGGCATCCCTGCCCACGGTAGGGAATTAAATGTGATAAGCTTTAAGGTCCCTTCCAACCCGAACCCCTCTGTGACTCCATGATTATACAAAAGGAGAGAGATGGAAGAACTGTGGCAGACATACACTACACTCAGTCTAATTTCTTCCTCGGTCTTCTCAGGTTTCTGATTAGTCCAACTTTGGTAACAGCAGAAATGCTCAGATATAAAAAACCTCACACCCCACAACACTTCTACACCTGGATTTTATCTAGACAGTCACAAAGAAATCAGTGGTTTTTCTCCTTCCAAGTTTTGCTTCTTAACTGGCTGATCCCATTTACTTACTGGTGTAGCACCAGGAAGTGGTTTTCCATTGATTTTGTGTAAACATTTCTCTGCAGTAGCAAGATCTGCAAATTCCACAAAGCAATAGCCTGCTGGAATTCTGAACATACAACACAGAAGAGACAAAGGTTATAAATTTAAAACACATTTGAGGAGGAAAGTTGTATTTTAGATTACTTATCTTAATTAGTAGGAATTACTTGCAATACATAGAACAATTTCTTTTTAAAGTATAAAGATTAGCTACCAAAGAGAAGCTGGATCTCAAGGGATAGCCCCTACTTACCATAAGTCAAGTTGACATAAGCACATAGAAAACTAGCTTACAGTTTACTTCCTATTTTCATTGACCATCAATTTGCCCACTCAAGTTTAAACTACTAAAAACTGAAATTACAAAGCTTAAGAGAATAATGAATAAGAATGACACTACTTTATTCTGCATAAATCACTCACTTTATTTCAAATGAACTCTAGACGTTCTCTTATTGCTCTGAGTCAGACTTCCCACCTCTGTCAGCATCACATAGCTGCACTACAGACTAGTGACCAAAGCCTGGGGAGGTATAATTCCCAGAGAGATGGAATGAGATACATACACTGCTCTGACTGAGTGCTGGAGCACTGCAGGATGAGGGCCAAACCTTGTTTGTTGAGGGGAGGCTGAAGAGCCAGCAGTGCCCTCTCCATTGCTCTCATTAATATTCCCATATTGGTGGCAGCAATGGTGAGAAACTCAAGGGGAAAATTCACTCTGATACCGAAGGACCACAGCGACACTTCAGTCCAAATGCACTCGGAGAACAAATGGAAAGAGTTACCCTGTCAACCTGTTTCGAATGATTTTTACACTCAGTACAAGCTCTCCCATGGTGGCAAAGGCTCTTGAAACAAAGTTTTCATCCATATAGGGCTCCAGCTATAAAAGGAAAAAAAAAAAAAAAAAAGAAAAAAAGAAAGTTAGATCAGGGCATCTACAAAAAGGAGAATACATGTGTCAATGTCCCCCTAAGCAGTTAAAACATTATTGAGAAGGATTTTACCCTTACACTTCAAAAAGAAGATGCATTTAAGAGGTCGATGCCACTCAAAACCAGCAGGCATGCATGAACCAGGCTCAACAGTCTGCAAAGTGGAACCCAAGAGACAGCATGAATTTCAGAGAACAGGGAGCTTCACAGAAGGACAAAAGCCACTCAGAAACATACAGCAACAAACTGAGCATTTGCTATAGGGAGCAGGGGAGAAGGTGGCAGGCTCCTTCTCCAGGTGCAAGCGAAGGCTGGGCCAGCGCTGTGGGTACATAGGCGTGGCACAACCCCGGGTGGCATGTGGCAGGTGACACTGCCCCGTGGAGCTGCAGTAGGGGTCTGCAGAGCTGCATCTGCCTTGCACAACCCTGGAGATACCAGGGCAGCACTCAGAGGAAGACCTGGAATCGCGTCCCACAGTGGCTCTAGGCTCCGTCCTGCCCATGGGACCACTGACCATGTTCATGTCACAGGGGAGGATGGCACTGTGCAGGTAAGAGTGTATGTGAACATGCTGGAGAGCAGGTGTCTGTGTGGTGTAAGGAACTAACAAGTAGGAAATAGCGCTGGAATTTGGATCAAATATACCATGAAGAGCCTGAATGAACAGGGCACTTCTGTGTATAACAGAAACTAGAGGAGAAAACTAACCAAAATTAAAAAATGAGGAGCAGTGGGTGTGACAGGTAACATGAAGCTGCAAAATACATGTACAAAATATATACAGCTCCATGTATTTACCTGTGTAAGACAGGTGGCCCATGATAACCTACAGCCCTGAAGTGTTTGTGTGTCTGTCAGGTACCAGGTGGCTTCACCACTAGTGTATGTGACAGAACATGAAAGAAGGTGCCCATACTGCACTTGCATGTGTAAAAGGCAGCAGATGCCCTGTGGAAGTGAGTGTGAAGCAGAACTGACTTGTCCTAGGAACAGAGGTAGCACCACTCTGCACAGATGTGCCATGCAGGGTGATCCTGTGGGGGTGTGTGTACAGGAAAGCTGGATTTGTAAAGACAACTGGTTGCCTGGATATGTCTGTGTGGCTCAAAGAGCCATGGCCTGCTTGTGAGAGTAGTGATGAAAAAGAAGATGGACTTTATGGTAGAGAGGTGGCAGGTAACCCTCTGTGTGAGGAAAAGGGTGAAGAGACTCCACAGAGCCTCTGTGCATGAGCAGAGGCAGTAGAGGACTCCCTGATACCGTGGCAAACTGGGTGTGCTGAGTATGTGTGTGGGAGAGAAGTACCCAGTGCAATTCTCAGGGATGTGTTGGGCTCTGTGTACACACACACACGTGAGAGATGAGGAACACTATGTGCAAGCAGGACTGTGCTGGTGTGAGCTGCAAGAAAGGGGCTGAAGGAAGATGTGCATCCAAGAAACGGGTGGCAGGGAAGTTGTGAGATGCTAGTGTGACTGTACACGCATAGTGGAGTGCACACAGGTGTGTACAAATACGTGACAGACAGCAAAGACACTACACACAGCAGTGGGACCGCATGTGCATGTCACAGTGTACCACAGTGGAAGCAATGCAGGCACCACGATACACTGAGCGCACACACACACATGCTGTGTGGCTGGGTGGCAGAGCACAACACACTGGGGTTAGTACACACGTGTGTGTACTCAGCAGTGAGTGGTGAAGGACACAGGGGCACAAGAGTAAGGGCGTGTGAAGGGCACACAAGGGACACTGTAGGGCTGTGCATCACTGTGAGTGCACCCAGCAGGCAGCAAGACACTCTTGGGTGTAGAAGCACCGCTGAGTGTGTTTCACACAGGTGCTCTTCCTGCCAGGTAGACACACAGGCAAGAATGAGGGACCTAGCAGGGTGTGTAAGTGCTTATGAATGTGCATACATGTAGGAGAGTCAAAATCCCCATGAAGGTGCATCCACAGGTGTGCATGTAAGGGGCAGGTTGTGAGGATAATCTTGGAGAGGTACATACAAATGTGAGTGCCTACAAGTGTGAGCACAATTAGTAGCACAACCATGAGTGTATTGAGCCTTGCACAATATGAAGTAAGTGTAAATGCCTATAGCAGCTGAGCAGGTAAAACAGCAGATAAATCCTTGAAGCATGCAAGTGTACACACTGTGAGTATGGGAGTGTGTAAGCGCCTCTTAAGAGTATGGAAGTGTGAGACTTGTTGGTGCCCATGCATGTATCTGCCCACCAGGACACTGGTGTAAGTGTGGCTGTGACCTGGCTGCAGGCAGACAGCGAGGGTCACTCTGGGGCGGGTGTGTACGTATGTGTGCGTGAGTGTAATCCCTCACAAACATCCCTGTCAGGCTGGGGTTTATGTCTGAGTGTGTATGTCGCCTTGTGTGAGAACGTCAGCATGCACAGGAGTATACGAGGCGAGTGTCACTTGGGGAATTTAGGTGTGTTATGTGTGAGGGGCTGTAAGGCTGTGTCAGTGCTGGGGTGTTAGTGGTGCGAGGGGGTCAGTCAGTGAGGGAGACGGTCAGCTGGTGTCAGGCGTCAATTAGAGTGAGGGTGTCAGAACTGTGAAGATGTCAGCCTGTCGGTTGTTGTGTGGGTGTCAGAGAGAGTGTCAGGCAGTCAGTGTGAGGGTGTCCGTCAATGTGAGGGTGTCGGTCCGCGGGAGGGTGCCAATCAGTGTGCGGGTGCCGGTCAGTGACGGTATCAGCCGGTCAGCGCCTCCCGCGCCTCGTCCCCGCCCCCCCAACCCCCCGGCCCGGCCGCTTCCCCTCGTAGCCCCGCCGCCCCCCGCCCCCCTCACAAAACCGCGCGGTCCCGGCCGGACACTCACGTCCCCCATCCACAGGCTGGCGGCCATACTGCTCCCGCAGGCCCCGCGGCGGGTTCAGTGGGGCCGCGCGCTCCACCTCCCGGCCCGGCCCGGCCCGGCCCGGCCCGGCCCGGCCCCGCCGCGCCCCGCCGCCGCCGCCCCTCCCTCCGTCCCTCCCCCGGTGCCCCGGTCCCTCGGTCCCTCCCCCGGTCCCTCCCGTTGCCACCCGGGCCGGCCCCGCCGCCTCCTCCGGGGCCCCGGCGGGCGGAGAGAGCGGCGCCCCCGCCGCCGCAGCGCCCCCTGGCGGCAGGAGGAGCGATAGCCGCGGGAGGGAGCCGGGGGGAGAGGGCGGGGGTTTGGGGCAGCTTGGGGAGGCTTTGGGACAACTACAACTACCTGGAAGCAGGCTGTAGTGAGCTGGGGACCGGTCTCTTCTACAGTGCCTGCAGTGAGAGGGCAAGAGGAAATGGCCTTAAGCTGAGACAGAAGATACAGATATTAGGAAAAAAAATCATAGAATATGCTGAGTTGGGAAGGAGCCATAGGAATCATCGAGACCAGCTCTTAGCCCTGCACAGGACATTCGAACAATCTCACCCTGTGCCTTAGAGTATTGTCCAAATGCTCCTGGAGCTCTGGCAGCCTTGGGGTTATGACCATTCCCTGGGGAGCCGGGGATACACTTTTTCCCCCTTCTGGAGGAAGAACCTTTTCCCGATATGCAACCCAACCCTCCCACGACACAACTCCATGCTGTGACAAGCACTTTGGTCATCTCTTCAAGGCACCACTGCTGCCAGAGCTGGCACAAAGCTGGACAGTTTTTGACAATGTTGAAAGACCAAAGACTGGATGTGGGTTTTTTTGTCGTAGAGAGGTTTGTGAGAGGCCATGAACCCGGCTCCCCTCCACCCAACAGGGCAGCAGCTGCATCAGAAGCTTCGAATCCCAGCCAAACTGGGTCTCTGAGCTTAGACCACTGCCTCTTCATACAGATAGGAGATGCATGTTCGGGGTCATCAGCCCCAAACGTGGGGTTGGATTGGGTACGGTGTGATCCTCTTCTCTTGTTTACTACCGCAGGCCCTCGACAGCGAGGGTGGCAGTTCCTGGAGAAGATGGAGCAGAGACGAGCGCGCCCGAGAGCTGGTTTGGCATCCTGAAGCCGGCTTGAATTTCGGCATCTTTTGTCACGGGCGAGCACTGTGCCCTGTTACGGAACGCCAGGCATGGGCTGAATCCCTGTCTGTGGTTGTGCAGGCGCTGCCGCACGCCATAAATCCAGCTCCTGGGGACAGGGACACCCCAAAGCCTCCGCGGTATTCTCGCCGAGGTGATTCGGGCTCCGGACGAGGCGGGCCCATCGTATCCCGGGAGAGGGCAGCAAGAGCCCGCCGGTTTCGGGTGGAGGTTTTCCGGTACTGGCACTAGGCAGCTTCGCGTGATGTTGCCAATTCTGGATCTCCTTCCGAAGTGACGTGTCAGCGTCCACTCAAATCTTGCCCCGCAATATCCCTCTTCCATAACTAATGCCTGAAACCCACCGGGAGAAGAACGGAGAATTCTTTGCTCTATTTTTCCCTGCGGACAAAGCAGGGAACGTTTGATCCTTCCTATATTCCTGCAGGATGCTGTGAGAATCCTTCATCCTCATTCTGAGCAGGATCTACATCTCTCATCATGCTGAAGTATAGGCTGCTCTAGAATATCAAATCTTGGAGGATGCAAGACATGAGGTCAACATATTTTATGTGTTTACTGACTTCTGAATCCCTAGAGCACTCTCAGGTCATTTTTGTCCAAGTTCCTCCCTAAAACGTAAAATCTAGCATGAAATCAGAAAGGCAGCAAGACCCACAGCTGATAACTCAGCTGAATGAAGACCTTAGGTTGTCAAGTTGCACTTTTTGTGCCTTGGTTTCACTGGCAATCTCATCTCTTCACCCCCTTTGAAGCCCCCGCTGTGTCTGCCTTTCAGATGTCAGCTTCCAGAATGGTTTTGTTTTCCCAACATGACAATTTATCCACTGGTTAACATGAAGCTCTTCGCAGAGCCCACAAAGCTGTGGCTCATTCTCTTTTTTTTAGGCTAAAAGCTCAGGTTTTCAGAGGCTTGGGCTTTTCAACAGAGGTTTTGTGGGTTTTTGATTTTTAAATTTCAACCTATTTTCCCCTATTTCAGTCTTCTTTGTATTGAAGATATATTGAGGTAATTTCAAATCCTCTGAAGTGGTTTTCCAGGTATTCTTTGGCTTTGATGGAAGAGAGTTAGTGTCCATATCAAAGGCATCCAGAAAAAATAATAATGCTTCTTTTGTGTGGCAGGGAGGTTAACGGGGCCACCAGTGCTGCAGCTGGCCCAGGGTGAAGAACTTTGATCTCCCTGCTTTTGATTGTTTGGAAGCCCCAAAGGTCCTGGATGTTCCATATAGTGGTGTTGCTTTCAGAATTACACCTGCCTGCTCAGCACAGGGATCTGGACATGAGGAAACAACAGAAGAACGCATAAAAGCACCTAGTTTAATGTTCCTGCTTCCCTTGTTGCCTGTTGTACTGAAAAAATTAATTGCGTCCAATCCCGTCTGATGGGATGACGTTCAAGAGGGGAGCAGAGATAAAAGATCCCAGATGGATTCAGTCATTTTAATCCTCAGTTCTCCTGTTTATGATGAGTTACTGGTTCTTGGACAAGGTGGGATTTAATGAGAATCTGGTGTGATTCAGTTCTTCAACAAAAGCATCCTTTCTCCACCAAGTTAGTTACTCATTTGTGCTGATTGAGGAATGAAAAACAGAATTCAAGGGTCTAATTAGCATTTGCTTCTCCTTTCAACAGATCAGTCTTTACACTCATAAACTTGCTGATAAAACTATTTTCAGTTGCTTTCTACTTGTCTGAGAATCTTCCAGCCTCCACAGAATCTGAATTTCCAGGTTAGGAAAACAAATATATAAAAAGAAAAGCTAGAAATAATATTCTGCTGCTTTTATAAAAGGACAAATGTAATTTCTCTGTGCATTTGTATTCATTTTTAGCCCAACAGTGATTACTGTATGTGTTAGAATACAGTAAATAGTAATACATTAAAGCATTAAATACAGTAAAAAGTAATACATTAAAGTTCCTTCACAAATCTTTTGTTCTGACATAGCTTGAGTGGGCACATTTTAAATATATATATATTTTTTATCCTGATTTGGCATATTCCCATACAGAATAGGTAACATTAGATAGCATTATGACAATCTGATTGTGTCTAAGTAAAACAATATTATCTTTACCACCACAGACTGGCATAATTAAAGCAGTGTTGGAAAGCTATAGGTCAATGTTATTGCTGTGGACATAAACCAAGGAATGCTACAATTTTTTAAAAAAAGTTTATTTTCAGAAGTCAGGACTACAGGATTTGATTCAGAGTTCTTAATTCTGGACAGCATTTTGAGGTTTGCTAAAGGTTCCATTTTTAGTCATAAAAATAACAAAATGAAAAATACAGAGGTGTATCTATAGTAAGAATAATGATTTCTATGGTAATGATAGTTGCAGTGCTCCTGCCCTAGGAACCCTATATTGAACAGAGTGATTGAATGTTTGGCTTTTAAAAAAAGAGAAAGAAAAAAAAAATCATAAAACAGATGAATAATGAAAACCAAATCTTTTCTCTGGTGAAAAGCCAAACCTGTGTTTTGAAAATTAAATGTTTTTTCTGGGTTAAGCGGCCAAAAAATGGACTTGGTCTTTTCAACAGCTTGGATTTATTACTGGAACCAGTTGGCTGTGCCATAGAGGAGAGAAATTTTCTGGTAATTAGAGCAGGAACTGGGAGTCAGAAGCAGAAGGGTCTGTTTCTGGCTTGGGCACTAGCACGCAATGGAGCCTTGGGAAATGCTGCCTCATTTTTACCTTGGTTTTCCCAGACATAAAATGGGGCTAAGAAAAGAATCCCACCTCACAAAGTGCACACACTAATTAAAGAACACTGCCACAGCACCTTGAGTTTGTTACTTCTGGAGGAGGGATTTTCAACAAGGACATACGTGAACTGTTTTTGAAAAACGCTGCACTAAACGTTACCAACCTGATTGCCCAGATTCCTAAATCCACGTGTGGCCATCTAATTGGAAAGGGTCTGATTTCCAGAGGTCCGTCTGCTGGTGAAAAGAGCATGATGGGGAGTGTTTTCTCCCTGGACTATGAAAACAGAAGAATCACAGGACTCCCTCCCACTGGGATCCTGCCATTTGCCTTAGCCCATTCCACAGGATTGCCCCACTTCCAGCAGTGAGGTGTGACCCTTGCAGTCTCCATTGCAGCTCTCCAGGGACACGTGGGGAACGGTCAGCCCAGGTTGTTCATGCAATGAATGGTGGGTGGGTGCAGACAGGTCCTGCTGGAACAGCTCCCTCAGAAAAGGGGCAGAGTTAATCTGCACATCCTCGCTGGAGTTACCCCAGTATCCCTGAGGCCCTGAAACCAACTTGGATTATCTCTCTCTGCCATTCAATTCCTAAGTCACCACCCGTCAGCATTAAAACTGCTCAGCCACCCCTTCCTCTAGCCGATGTCATGGTCGGTGAGTGAAAGGAACGGCCTTGGACACCATCCCTCCCTCCCTGGATCAGAGGAAACATGCGCTGACAAGACAGGAAATTCTCCTGAACCACAAAGACCTGGAGCTCATCTCTCGCCTTCCTGTGGGCCTTACCCAGCTTTCAGCCTGGGTCTTTAAGGGTTATTTATAGCACTGGTTGCATTAACAGGTTTGTGTTTTTCTTCTTCTGTCAACCAAGTTATTCAATTGAGATTTTCAGGTTGTTTTTATTCAAAGTACCAGAGACAGACCCAAGAATGTTGTGGTCCTGCAGGATAACGATCCCTTGTCGCTAATGGGCAGCCAAGAGGGATTTGTCTGTGTGGCAGGCTCAGTCAGTAGTGGACAGGCTCTCAAGTCTCCGGTCAAAAACAAATAGTTCCAAATTTGGGCAGGATTGGGTTTCACAAGTATTTCTTTACAGCAGCAGTGCATTTCCAGAACCCCAGTCATGTTCTCCTTTCTGTGACTGATCCCTTCTGCATCACCACTGTTCCCCTCTCTCATCCTGTGGTACCATTTGCATGGCTATGTGATGGCCTAGCTTTTGGAATGACCCCAATTCCAAAAGAAAACCAGGACAAAATTCCCTTTGTT